CTACAGTACTCTCTGTACTACAGTACTCTGCACTATAGTACTCTGCACTATAGTACTCTGTACTACAGTACTCTGCACTACAGTACTCTGCACTACAGTATTCTGTACTATAGTACTCTGTACTACAGTACTCTGCACTATAGTACTCTGCGTGGTCATTGACTGTCACAGGTTGATGTCGAGTTTGTCAGGTGAATGTAAATATGTCATGTAATAATTGAAATATAAATATAAATACTTCATATTAATATAATTTTTAATTGAAAAAAATCAGCAAAATGTAGACGTGTTATTATTTACCAAAAAATTATTTAAAAAAACTAGGCCATGACAAGGTTTGAGGATTGGGAGCAGAGGGGCCGGGGGCCGGTCAAAGGGGCGTGGAGGGCCGGAATTGGCCCATGGGCCTTAGTTTGATGACTGCTGCTTTAATTGTTCTAAAAAATATCTGCAAAACACTTGTAGTTTTTACTCTTAAAGTGCATGGTTCTTCAATAGTTTTTATTTAAATAGGTTTTTCATGTGACACCTTTACTTTTACTTGAGTAATCTTTTGCCCTTGTATCTGTACTTTTACTCAAGCAACAAAATTGAGTAGTAGCAGTACTGCAAGCATAAAAGTATCATTTGTTGTACCATGTTAAGTCTATTTTTAGAAAATCAGGGACCGCTCAAGTCTCCTCTATTAGAGTGTCCGTAAATGATTTTTTTGTTTTTCTGTTTCCTTTCACATCTTTCAGACAATGACAAAAGTAAAACTAGAAAAGCGCTCAGAGAGCGCAGACCTCCGCCAAGGACTACCCCCATTTTTTATATAAATTGCGATAAAATCAGTCTTCTGGATCAGATCCGGATCAGCCTTTGGAATATGAAAGAGGATCCCATTGTCCATCCCTGAGTCAAATTTCATGGGGTTTGGTCAATAATTAACCGAGATATTGAGAAACAAAATTTTTGGCCCCATTTACCACAATGTTAACTAAAATTTCAAAGTGATCCAGAATCCAGGATTTCTTCCGGATCATCCCCAAAATGAAATCACTTCTTCCTTTTCACATTTCCAACAAATCCTGAAAATTTCATCAAAATCGGTCCATAACTTTTTGAGTTATGTTGCTAACAGACAAACAGACAAACAAACAAACAGACAGACAAACGCCGGCAAAAACATAACCTTCTGGGCTTCTAGGGGACTTTCCAGCTGATTTTTATGCTGAACAACAACAATGTGTTTAATTACATACATATTACCATTGTGTCATTCAGAAGCCCAACTTTAATAGTAACTAATAAATGGACAATGGTTTATTTTTTATCGACATCTAACTGTATCTAAAGACTTTCTTATAATCATCTCAACTTCTTGCGGTCGTTACAATTCATAGCTCGCTGATGTTTTTGTTTTGTAAAAGTAAAGTAGTAACAGTTGTAGCAAGATCATAACTTTTCATAACTTATTTTTATATTTTGTGCTTTTTTCTTGTTTTCAAATATTTCATTGAGTAGTTAATAATGGGCAGTGTTGGGGAGTAACAGATTACATGTACCAGAGTTACGTAATCAGAGTACAAATTATGAGTAACTGTATTCAGTTACAGTTAGGTGTGTCACATTATCGCGTTAATTGCGATTAATTAATTACAGCCATATTTAGCGCGTTATGTTTTTTAATCGCGTTAATCTCATTTTTAATCTCTAACTTTACTGATTCTGTATGCGAGTTGCCTTATTATAAAATCCGTTTTTATGTGTTGAGCTCCTTGTGCTTGAATTGTTGGGGGTGGAACCATGGTCAGTCACACCCTGTTTGCAGGGCGAGGTGAGGAGCGGAGGTAAAAGAGAGGAGACGTGACAATGGAGGAGCATTTGACAGTTGGACCAATGAACGGGAAATTTACATTTCACAAACGCCCCGACGGCACCATTAATAAGGGTAAAGTCATATGCCTTCTGTGTAAGAAGGAGTTTGCTTAGCACCGAAGCAACTCAAGTTTAGCCTATCACATCAATGCAAAACACCCAGCCGCGAGTGTAGCCACGGCTAACGTTAGCAGCAAACACGTTAGCAATTTAGCAAGCCAAAGCAAAGCTCTTCGCCAAACTACACTGGAGGAAAACACCACGCGTTTGAGCAAGTCTGCTACCGACAGGCTGACGAATGTTCTTGCCAAGTGGATAGCGATGAACTGCAGGCCGATAAATATAGTGGAAGACGAAGGGTTATCAGAGGTGTTGCAAACTGCGTCCAATGACCCGTCATACAAGCCACCGTGCAGGACTACAGTGACCACCAAAATCAGCAAGATGTACGACAGCGAAAAGAAAAATAAACTTGAGATTTTGGTGGAGGATTCGCCCAACTGTGTTGCTATAACCGGAGATCACTGGACCTCAGTTGGCAACCACAGCTATTTGGGGGTGACCGGTGTTCCGGATTGTCTGGGCGATCAGCTTAACTGGTAAAGGCGAGGCCACACCTGGAAGCATGGGGGGGGGCGTGTCCTCTCGCTTCCATTCACTCCCATAGAGACACAAAACTGCCAGAGCTGTATTGTCGCGTTAAACCTTCTTTATCGTGGCGTATTATTTCCCCATTGAAAAATAATCCAAATGTATCCCGCACATGTTCCCATCAAGACCTGGTTTGAAATAACAAACGTTGCTCTTTACTGCAGCGCATAAACGCGCTCAACCACTTGATCTGTTCACTGCTCCAGACGCTCCTATAACAGGTGCCATATCACTATGTCGTGTAACAAATAAACATGGTCAAACACAAAATACTGTCCGTGTCTTCACTGTCATGAATGTTGCGTTTGTGTAGACATGTACAGGCTATATAATGTGTATAATGATCTAGTTCACACAATTTGCTACCAAAATAGGGATTGACTCATTGGATCATTTTGACACAATCACTCAGTGAAATATTACACAACATCTTGCTGTGAACACAACAGGTAGACTACATCTCCTGCTTCCAGATCCAGATGTGTTGGGCGTGTCCACTCAGCTGTAGATGCGGCACTTTATTTTGTGTTACACAATGTTACTTTTGATGTGCTAACTTACAGCACTGTGATGTGTTTGTTTTAATTTATTTTTTTATTATCTGAAGCAGAGGAAAAGCACCAAGTTCAGGGTTGTAGTGTTTTTGCTGTTTTTTGATAACTTACAACACTTTATAATGTGGACCAGATGTTTTATTTTATTTGTATTTTCTAATTATTTACAGTTTGTCAAAAGAACACAGCAGAATGTAAATGGCTGCATCTGTTAAAGTTCATAAAAAAAATAAATGACTTCATGAAGTATTTTTTTGTTCTATATCAGTCTTTTGATCTGCCACAATAATGTAATAATGAATTTAAATGAAAATACCTGAAATTGAAGGCTTTTCTCAGCAATTTTTAGGTGAGATTTAAAAAGCGATTAATTAGATTAATTAATTACAGATCATAATTAATTAATCGCTCAATTTTTTTAATCGCATGACAGCACTAGTTACAGTTACTGTTTCAGTGAGTGGTAATTGGATTACAGTTACTTGTTGAAATAAATGGATTACACAGAGGTATTTTCAGAGGTATTATATTACAGAGAGTTTTTTTTTTTTTCTTTTCCTTTCTTGGTAATTCCACTCATTGCCGGACACTAAACCAGGTCTAAACCAGGTCTAAATTAGGTCTAAACTAGGACTAAACTAGGACTAAACCAGGACTAAAATCAGGTCTAAACCAGGTCCAAACCAGGTCTAAAACCAGATCTAAACTAGGACTAAACGAAGACTGAACCAGGACTAAAACCAGGTCTAAACTATGTCTCATGCAGGATTTAACAGGACTAAATCCTGCTGTGTGGACGTGTCTCCTCCTCTTCTATCAATAATATTTTTAATTTGGTTCAGTAAAGTCTGGGCTTTTTATTTTCTTTTATTAGACAAAACTTCTTAAGTGAAGATTTCCGAGTCTTTGCTTCTCTACAGCAAATCAAGTAATCCAAAGTATTCAGATTACGTTACTCACTTTAAGTAATTTAATGGATTCTGTTACAAACTACATTTTGGAGTATGTAATCTGTAATCTGTAGGGGAATACATTTTAAAAGTAAACTTCACAACACTGATAATGGGTTTATATTATAGTCCTGGTGTTTTATGTTCTGTGTTTGATTAAAGGTTCTTCCTGCTCTGACAAAAAGGTAATATTATATTTCTGGTGTGAACTCGTTCACATCAGCGCCCCCTGAGCATTTTAAACGGGATTAGACGTGTCGTGGGTTTTTCCCGTGGTTTATTTCGGTCTGCGCGTCTCTGTGCGGGGTGACGTAGCACCGCGTCGCACGGCTCTGCACAAGTTGCCAAGTCTCATTGTTTTAATCGACGTTGGGACACTGACACAGATCTGTTATTGCCTGGTTTCACATGACATCACAACATTCTATTGGGCAATTTTCATGAATACAGATGGAGGCAGCTAAAATAAAAATGTTAAAATGCAAAATGATGTTGTAATAAGTGAATTTGAAGGTTTAGTCAATAACTGAAAATACCAGGTTCAACATTTGTGAATTAAAACCTGAAAGTATCACATCATCACATTCTAGAATCTAAAAACTACCAATAATAAGATATATCATAAGTTGTGTCGTCCACTTAGGAGGTGAAAAAAATTAGAAAAGTAGTCGTTTCTGAGGCTAAAAAATCTCTAGACTAGTTTATAATATTTGCAGAAAAGAAATAGTTTAAGATTATTTCTCAGTTCCAGTTACTGACAACAGTTTGAGGACTTTTCCCCCATGTAAATTACACATAATAGTTTTAAATTGTTAATCACTATGGCAACTGTTCTAATTTCTCATCATTGTGAAACCCCTTGACTACAGCATTATTATTATTATTATTATTATTATTATTATTATTATTATTATTATTATTATTATTATTTGGTATATTTAGCAGCAGGTCGAATTTAAAGGGGTCATATTACATTATTTACTGATCTATGTTATAATGTTGTTTCCTCATCAGAAACATGCTCTGGTTTGTGTTTAGGCCGTTCATCTCTCAAACAGAAAACACCGTTCCACCTTGTGATGTCATGCGGCAATACAGAAATACAGGAAATGTCCCACTGTGTTTTGAAAAACGCCATACACCTTCACTAGAACCCTCTTCTGAACAAAAGGTAAAAGGAGCTGTTAACTTGAAAACTACCACTTCATGACATCACAATTTGGAACGGAGCATTTTGAGCTTTGAAGTTGTAGAAAGACTAATAATAAAGAATTACTCAATCATTTGTTTTTGAGGAGGCAACAACATTCTGATATCACTTGGTCTATTTTCCAAACTTTGATTTATACTTTTTGATTTTTTCCTGGTATATAAATAATTGTGATCAGTTTTGAATTACATTTTACCAACAGTCCTTTTCAGTATTTAACAATGAAAATATACAGCCGATTATTTAAGAACACTGGGGTTAAACTGTAGATTTATGAATAGATTTTTGCCCCTTTAATGATTTCAACATTGCCACATGACCCTTTCGCACGAGTTCAGTGTCCTAATTTGAACGACATGCGGCAAAATAAGATGAAGAAATCTAACTTCTTTCAAAGGTCTGGCTGATTGCGTGTTTTCCTCGTGAGATCTGGCAACCCCCGCGGATCAACAACACAGACGCCGACACCGCTCGATCTCACACGGCACAAAACCGGAGCCAGCGCGCTGAATGTGCCCATTTCGCACATACACACACAGTACATGCACACACACACATCACACACATACACACACAGTACATGCACACACACACAATACACACACATACACACACACACAATACACAATACACACACACACACGCACACACACACACACACACAATACACACACGCACACACACACACACACACACACACGCACACACAATACACACACACACACACAATACATGCACATACACACACACAATACACACACACAATACACACACACACACACACACACACACAATACACACAGTACACGCACACACACACAATACACGCACACACACACGCGTACACACACACACACACAATACACACAGTACACGCACACACACAATACACGCACACACACAATACACACACACACACACGTACCCACACACACAGTACACATGTACGTGCGTACACACACACACACCCGCACACACATGAACATACGTACACACACATGAACATACGTACACACACATGAACATACGTACACACATGTACATGCGCACACACATGTACACACAGTGTGTCCTGTTGTTGTGTTACTGCTCTAGTTCAATAGTCTACACGTTTACAGTCCAGTATTTGCACTTTATGAATTGAATAATGATTAATGTAATTTTTTTGTTATTTGTGACAGTGGAGGCGTTTGTACTTTTGAAAATGCTCTTTAACTGTTCTGCATGTAAATCAGAATCCTCCTGAAATGAGTAAATAAACTTTTATGGTAATTAATGGTTCTAAATGTGATGAGTGTGAGTTTCCACTTCCTGTAAATCCAGGCCAACACTCTGTGATTTATGGTCTTTTTGAGCTGATTTTTCCCTCGTGTGACTGTTTTGGGATCAGGCTGAGTTTTGGTTTAATCGTGTGTCGTCGTGTAGTAACGAAAACTGATTAATCCCTCACGATCAGCTCCCCGTCGGCAATCGTAGGTCACAAGAAAATCAAACCTGTTTGAGTCCAGTCGCCTCGTGAGGGTTTCAGTGTTGAAGTCGTTCAGTGTGAGAACATGAACATGAGCTGTGAACTTGTAAACCCTGCGGTTTGGTCGTACAGTTTAAGCTGGGACTGAATGAAACCATCAAAAAGATCGTACAGTGTACAATTACTTATGTGAACCCTTAATATCTGCTTCTATAAACAAGGTGATGAAAACACAACTAATCACAATAAATCCTTGAGTCTTGCGTCTGAGTTTGTGCTGGAGCAGTGAGCTGATGTGTTTCTGTAGTTTCAGATCCTCCCGAGCGTCCAGTGGAGGTCCTCGGGGCTCAGCTGGACTCCATCAGAGAGGCTCTGACCGGGGACCAAAGAGGTACGACTACTTTCACCCGAGAGATATGGAAGAAATGTTTTAAATCTGCATGTCTATGTCACAAACTGTGGATACAAATGGACATAATTAATCCACAAGCCACTGCGTTCCAGACAGGAGTGAGCATGGGCATTCTTCTGACTCCATCGACTCTGGCTTCAGTTCACTTTGTATTAAAAATGCCCCTCTGTAACTGCTGCTTTGAGCCTTGCCGTTTTGGTCTTAAAATGTTGGTAGTAACCTGCTCTACATGACCCTGGGGTTTTATTTCACTTTTTTGTTTTGTTTTTATTTTGTCTGAAAATAAATTCCTTTTCCTAATATGGACCTCTGCTCCAGATTGGCTCCTATAACCTCGAGTCTCAGTGAGCTTCATTTGACTGGAGAACGCTCTGGGAGGGTTAGGGTTAGAGTTGCCACACTCAGAACACTTCTTTATACACTCTGTGCTTTATTCTATATTTTATATTACTATATTTTTCTGTGTTCAGAGTTGTCAGCGCTGATGTCGCGGATGTCCCACACTCTGAGCGTCCTGTGTCCTCCTCAGACTCACACTGATGTGATCAGACTGCCCACGGACCTGCCCACGGACCTGCCCCCTCACCTGCACGGACAGGTGAGTAACATCTTCACCTGTGAACAAGTAGAAGTAACTGTTACTGTAAACTCTGTGTCTAAATGTGTTTTGATTTTCAGGTGGTCAACATGATTCTGAGGAGTTTCTGTCAGTGCGTTTTAGACTCATCCAAACAAGAACCATCCACAAAGTAAGAACTGAGTGTGTGAAATCAAGTGTTTTAAAGCCGAACTGTTCTGCACTCGACTTTTAACCACATTATATTTTTATTAGGGGTGGGACATTAACACATTCATTAAAATATTAACACATTTAACAAGGCAGAAAGTTCTGGTTCTAGAGATGTGTCACATTCCAACGTCACAAATCTCTGTTTGTGCAAATCTCCACATCATCAAATCCATTTTGAATTGTAACTGTAGAATAAGTCTGAGTGAACGAGTTCCTTCTGTTTTATTCATTTGCATAACGTTAGTTTAGTTGAGTGTGCGACTAATGCGTGGTGGTTGTTTCCTTTAAGCTTTCTTCTTTCTTCCCTTGATAGTTGTGGATAAATAAAACATTTACACACACATTTATACACATTTATACAACTGTGCAGAAAATAATTTCACTGACGGAAGCATTTAAATGAAAGGTGAGAGTGAGAACAGAACCTGCTGGAGCTGTGGGCAGGAGCAGTTTAGTCAGCGTATGAACGAGGTGTGACCCCGAACTCAAACACATGACGGGCTTCAGGAAAATAATGAATAAGGCAAATATTGTTATTTGATTGAGATTCATTCATTACAAAGATGCATTTTTTAATTCAAGTGCCATTCCTAATTTTTCTCCATGTTCGAGTCGTTTCTTCTCACTGACCCTCTGAAGTTGTATTTGGAGTGATTCATATTTGAGGAATCTTTAATCACTAATTTTCAAGAAGTCGTAGCTCTTGTTTCTTTTATTAAGTCGTTTTAGATCAGTATTGTGATTTAAACTGTCCAGATTAGAACAGAATGATCCACAGGGTCAGAGTTTAGAGCTAAAGACACAAACACTTTAGTGCTGATTTAATGACAGTAACAGTAACATTGAGACTAGGAAGACGATACCTACATTTATTAGCTTCATATTATTATTTTTACATTTTAGACATCTATAATCTTCTGCAACATTGTGTTTATTGCAGCACCTAAACACCAGCCTGGCAGACCAAGATTACACCCTTTTCCTAAATACTGAACAAAGACGGGCAAATCCTACAAAGAGAATTCCAGTCTGGATGATCTCAGCTTCTTAAATGCAGATTTGGTGCTGAAAATTACTGCTTGGAAAACACATAATGGCACATAGTACGGACAATAGATGTCAAATGCCTCTATATTTTAAATAAAAACAGTAATATTTCTATTTCTTTATCTTTAGTTCATATTTAGAAATTAATTCCGAATAAAATTTTTTTTAATTTTGAATAAAAATAAATTTCTAATGAAAATGATTATTCTGAATTAAACTTAATTCTGAAGTGTTTGGTTTATTCTGATTTTAAATCTGTGTCCGTGGCGTAACGACAAACGTAAATCTGCTGGTGTCTCTGTCCAATCAGAACCTTCCCCTCCCCAGACGCTGAGACATTAAATAAAGAACATTTCACCAGTTGAACACGGAAACAACAATTCAACATTATTATTTTCAAGGAAACTCCAAGGAGAATATTTTAATTCAGAACTATTAATTCAGAATTAAAAAACATCATGTAAACGTGACTGATGCCAGTGGAACCTCTTGTTTTCAGACAGATGTCGTGGGCCTCCAGGTTTGTGTTGGCTCTGACTGAAAACCGAGCCGTGTTTCGGAGCCTCGTGCTCAGACTCTGGGACCTTTTCCAGAACCAGGTCTGACCACACTTTTATTTACACTCATTATTCTTAAACTGTAGACTTAAACGTCCGTGTGGGCACAGGTGACGTCTCTGGGTGCTGCTCATGTTTTGGGGCTGGCCGTCTTCGTGGTGCATCTCCACTCCTGCTCCAGACACTGCCCCCTGGTGGAGCTACAGCCGTCTGCGCCCGGCCCCGTGTGTGTGAGCGAGGCAGTGTGCTCCGGGCTCCGCTGCGACACACACACACACACATGCTGTTCAGCCTCAGGTCCGTGCGCTCGCCTCCGCTCACAAACCCAGACGAACGTGAACCGTCTGTGAGTCTGTTCTCCTTCTGTGTCTCAGGTTTTGTCTGGTGGCTGTGAGTTTCGCCGTCTGCAGACGAGACGCAGATCCACACCAGCTCATTCCCTCCACTCTGTACAAGAAGGTTTTCCCTTTTTATTCAGCTTTTTCTAGTTTTCATTCAATGCATCAACACTGGGATTAAAAAGGGACTAAACCTTGAACTAAATCTGGACTCTAGTAGGACCAAACCAAGTCTGTCAGGACGACCAGGACCAAACTAGGGAGAAAAAAATTTGTGTAAATGCAGCAAAGTCCACCTTGAATTTGAAGTGCCTAATTATGAAAACAAAATTATAGTTACGGTTAATTTAGTCATAATGTAAACCACCAGTTACTTACGGGCTGTCAAAGATTGTTCCATCAGATTTAGAATTTTAAATCCTGCTGAATTTCTCATTAACTCTAAAAAAAAGATGTGTGAGTTATTTTGGTGAAATTTTAGGTGCTGAAATTTTAAGTCTAATTAAAATTTTCTCCTTTTTAAATATTCAGCACAAATATTTTCAAGCCCTAAAATTCAACTGTCACATTTCAGAGTGTAAAATTCAGAGTGAAAAATGTTTGCTGCAAATTATTTCACTGCAAATTTTACAATTTTGACTGTTGAATTTGAGGGCTTTAAAATATTTGTGCTGAATATTTAAAAGTCAAATTTTTAAGAATTTTAATACATTTCTTGTCACACAAAATGTACACTTCAAATTTCATTAACAATAAAAAGTTAAGAGTTAAAAAATTCAAAGTGAGAAATTCAACTGGATTTAAAATTCAGAATCTGATTAAACAAATTATCTTCCATAAAAATATTCTCATTATAAACTTAATTGTTGGGTTTAATTGTAATTTTTATGAAGTGTTAGTCTGTCCGTCTCCAGCCCTTTGACTTTGTTCAAGCAAAGACAGAAAACCTTTTTGAGAAGTTTTGGATCAACGAGCTGTTATTATTATTTTTTAAAATGTTTTGATTTCCTGGTTGCTTGCAGCTTTTGTATCTTGTGCCACGGTTGTTGCCTCGTGCCCGGATGCCCGTCTGTGATGAGGCCATGGATGAAGTCCCCAGAGCCACGGAGGAGGGAGGGTCCTGGAGAAGAGCCACGGAGGAGGGAGGGTCCTGGAGAAGAGCCACGGAGGAGGGAGGGTCCTGGAGAAGAGCCACAGAGGAGGGAGGGTCCTGGAGAAGCTCTGCCCTGAGTCTGTGGAGGGACCCGGCCTTTAGGTCCCTTCAGCTCAACACACAGTTTCAGGTATTTGACTAAAACTTGTCTGCAGAATGTTACTGTTAAGATCCGGGTAAGAGCGAGTTGATGCAAAAGGATCACTTAAGGATCCGTGTTTAACCTGCGCTTCCAGATAAGACGATGCAGCTCAGCCTTTGCACAGGCAGTCGTCTCGTACACGAACATTAACGAACAGAACGGCCGCCAGAAAGATTCAGCTCTCCTCTGACCTCAGGAACTTCTCTTGTAACGTTAGACAAGAACAGTTTTGTGGACAAACACGTCGTCTTCTTTTACAGCGTTTATTTTCACGTCTTAGAAAGTCACTGTTGATCCATGACGAGAAACTTTCCTTTGTTCAGTGACTCTGAAAATAATAAACCAGAGAATCAAATATCAACATTAAAACAGGCACCGAGACGTAGAGGTCATAGAAATACAGGTCGAAATCTGTTTTTTTGTTTGACACTGAAATAGAATAATGAAATCACAAACTGTTTTCCCATTTTATTATTTGGTCTTAACTGAAATTTAAAAGAACAAATGGTACTCGGACCGGACAGACTTAAGGAATTTAAAATCCAAATCTACCAAATGGTTCTTTTAAACTCTTCTGGTCATAATGTTTTTCACAGTTAGTAAATGTAATGATCGAAGAGACGCTTTTTGACTCCACCTGATTAGAAAACACTTTATGACTTGATCCGTGTCCCTCTTTGAAATAACAGTATTTTTCTCTTCTTGTAGCTGACGTTTTCAGAGTGGTTTCATAATGAGCTCCAGGTTTGCAGAGGTGAAGACGCCCTGTCTGACCCTGAGCGGTGAGTCAAATCTTTACTTGATCCTGGTCCTGATTTGAGTCTAAACGGAGCTCTGCTGTCTGAAGGCGGGAGTATCATGAGTGGGTCTTCATGGAGCTGTTCCTGCCCCGGCCGGAGTCTGATGGCGGCTTTGGGGGAGACGTGGAGACGCTCTGCTGCCGACTCATCACCGCCGTCCTGGATCAGTCAGTGCAGTTTTGTGACGCTTTTATTTTTGACCAACTCCGTACATTCAAAACTTATGAATTTAATTCACAGTTTTTAGCTGTAAATTGTGCAGTGTGAGTCTCTGCTAAACCACAATAATCCATCACGTTGTGTTGTGTGTTGTTGTGTTGTTGTGTGTTGTGTTGTGTGTTGTGTGTGTTGTGTTGTGTGTTGTTGTTGTGTGTTGTGTGTTGTGTGTTGTTGTGTGTTGTGTGTGTGTTGTGTTGTTGTTGTGTGTTGTTGTTGTGTGTTGTGTGTGTTGTTGTGTGTTGTTGTGTTGTGTGTTGTTGTGTGTTGTGTTGTTGTGTTGTTGTTGTGTTGTTGTGTTGTGTGTTGTGTTGTTGTGTGTTGTGTTGTTGTGTGTTGTGTTGTTGTGTTGTTGTATGTTGTGTGTTGTTGTTGTGTGTTGTGTTGTTGTGTGTTGTGTTGTTGTACAGTGAGGTGAATGATGGTGCACATCACAGAGGAGCACAGTCTGTTCTTCCAGACGTCCTCTCCAGGTTACAGGTTTGTATTTTCAAATTCTCTTTAGAAACTCTTTTCTCTGGTCAAGATTAGTTTATTTTTTGGCACTAGTCGAGTGTAAAAATAATTCTGGTTGTATTTGGATTATGGATTCATAATTTGGATTGTACAGATAAAAAGACCTTTTATAAGCAAGACTGGCATCATTAAAACAAAAAGTCCAAATAATCATTAAGAAGCCGTCAGTCGCCGCCATATTTCATATTTATTTGGTTAAAAATGTATTTAAAAAGTCTGTATGTGCAGTAGAAATAATCGTTGACTGGAGACAAGTTGAAAAATGAATCTCTGACTATTTGACTGATAAAATATTGGTTGTGTGTTGTCAGACGTGTGTGTATGATCTTTGGCTCTCTGGACGCTCTGGCCGAGCTCAGATGGGACGCGTCTGTCTGGAGCTTCTGTCCCACAGATTCTCCTCGGTCCCATCGGCTCGTCTGAGCGCAGAGCTCGTCCTGCGGCGCACGCTTCACTCCTGGAACAGGTTTCTATGATCACACTCTTTCTGTTGTCACTCATGTTTTATACGACTCACCTGGGGCTGGTGGTTTTGCAGAGTCCTGTTGGCCCTGCCGTCCTCACTGCTCCTGTCGACAGGAGACTGTCAGGTCCTCATAGATCACATAAACCAGCACCAGGTCTGCTCCGTCTGTCTCTGTCTGTCTCCGTCTCTGTCTGTCTCCGTCTCCCTCTGTCTCTGCCTCTGTCTCCGTCTGTCTCCCTCTGTCTCCGTCTGTCTCCGTCTGTCTCCGTCTCCCTCTGTCTCTGCCTCTGTCTCCGTCTGTCTCTGCCTCTGTCTCCGTCTGTCTCCGTCTCAGTCTGTCTCTGTCTCTGCCTCTGTCTGTCTCCGTCTGTCTCCGTCTGTCTCCGTCTGTCTCTGTCTGTCTCTGTCTGTCTCCGTCTGTCTCTGTCTCCCTCTGTCTCTGTCTGTCTCCCTCTGTCTCTGCCTCTGTCTCCGTCTGTCTCCGTCTCCCTCTGTCTCTGCCTCTGTCTCCGTCTGTCTCCGTCTGTCTCCCTCTGTCTCCGTCTGTCTCCGTCTGTCTCCGTCTGTCTCCGTCTCCCTCTGTCTCTGCCTCTGTCTCCGTCTGTCTCCGTCTGTCTCTGCCTCTGTCTCCGTCTGTCTCCGTCTCCGTCTGTCTCTGTCTCTGTCTCTGTCCTCTGTCTCCGTCTGTCTCCGTCTGTCTCCGTCTGTCTCTGTCTGTCTCTGTCTGTCTCTGTCTCCCTCTGTCTCTGTCTGTCTCCCTCTGTCTCTGTCTGTCTCCGTCTGTCTCTGTCTCCGTCTCTCTGTGTTGATCACATGATTTGTCTTTTCTAGAGGACGGTGTGTTCTCCTGAGAACGTGCTGCCGTGTCACATCAGCACACACATCATGAAGGTGAGAAGATACAGGGCAGGTGTGTTTAAGTGAAGCCAGGAGAGAGACGTCCCCCGGACATCACTGCACACCGTCCAACTGTCCCCGCTGTCCCCACTGTCCCAAACGTCCGAC